CCTTTGATTTGATTCCAGCACTCAGTCTTTTTGGGAATGAGTCTATCAGCATGGCACATCTTGACTTCGGCAATATTTGCCCACTCTTCCTTGCAAAAACACTTCAAATCTGTCAGATTGCAAGGACATCTCCTGTGCACAGCCTTCTTTAGATCACCCCACAGCAGGGGCGGACTAACAACTCATGGGGCCCCCAGGCAATAGGGAATCATGGGGTCCCTGTGTTCTTGCCCAAACTCAAAAAGCCTATGAAAAAGGTACCAGGGGAATCTACTGGGGCCCCCTACTGAAACTGGGCCCTTGGGCAGTGCCCGAGTTTCCAAATGGTCAGTCCGCCCCTGCCCCACAGAGTTTCGATGGGATTTAGGTCTGGGCTCTGGTTGAGCCATTCCAAAACTTTAATCTTCTTCTGGTGAAGCCATTCCTTTGTTGATTTGGATGTATGCTTTGGGTGGTTGTCATGCTGAAAGATGAAGCTCCTCTTCATGTTCAGCTTTCTAGCAGGAGCCTGAAGGTTTTGTGCCAATATTGACTGGTATTTGGAACTGTTCATCATTCCCTCTACCTTGACTAAGGCCCCAGTTCCAGCTGAAGAAAAACAGCCCCAAAGCATGATGCTGCCACCACCATGCTTCACTGTGGGTATGGTGTTCTTTTGGTGATGTGCAGTGTTGTTTTTGCACCAAAAATATCTTTTTGAATTATGGCCAAAAAGATCAACATTGGTTTCATCAGACCAGAACACATTTTCCTACAGGCTTTTGTGAGACTTCAGATGTGTTTTTGCAAAATTTAGCCGGGTTTGGATGTTTTTCTTCATAAGAAAAGGCTTCCATCTTGTCACTCTACCTCATAGCCCAGACATATGAAGAATACGGGAGATTGTTGTCACATGTACCACACAGCCAGCACTGTAGGTATAGACAGTGTTAGATTACCAACTAGGCAGAGTAGGCACTAGCCTATGGGCCCTACACCATTGAAGTGCCCCGCAACAACTGATCAAAATAACACTGATTTAGTCTTGAAAGAAAATTACAATGACGCTTTCTTAAATTGTTTACAAAAGATAGAAAAAAATGAATCAACTCAAAGAAATGAAAACTTTCAAGACTGCCTAACGGTAATTATATGTTGTGGTTTTGAAGTGGTTTACTGGGGTCATGGCTGCAGCTAGACGCCATAACCCTGGTATTAAAAGTTTCCTCAGTCGCTGCTCTTTCTGCTAAAAATGATCCAAGCGGTTGATTTGCCCCTGGATCACTTATAACCACAGCTTTCTGGTGGTAATCGGGCTTACTTGTCTCATCAGGAAGTCCAGGAACCGATCTGGTGCTTGTAGTGGTTGGCCACAGAGGAGAGATGGCCCCTATTTAGCTCTATGACTTAGGAGGCCGGGAGCAACGTCATGATATCACTTCATGTTTACGACCAATGTAAATAATGTCATTTTTAGTGGGGAGTTAAGCATTAGATCAATGTAGAGTTGGGACAGTGTAAAAAAAAACAATAATATTTAAAAAATGAAAGCGCCCCCATCCCCCTGTGCTTGCACGCAGTGTCGAACACATACGTAGGTCATGCCCACATATATAAACAGTATTCAGGATGGACTTGATGTTCTGGTCAAACGTAAGTGCATAGTGAGAGCTATGATTGGCCAAAGCAATGCACCTGACCACAGGTCAGGTGCAATGCTTTGGCCAATCACAGCACAATTGGGTGGAGCTAGCAGTAACGTCATTGCTAGCTCCGCCAAATTGTTTATATCTGATCAGCAAATGTCAGATTGCAGCGAGTGCTCAGCAGGTGTGGGCGCTGTTTTTTTTTTTTTCTTTTCATTTTTGTTGAGTCGGGGTCATCGTGACAAGGCTGGATGCTGTGATTGATGATGGATTACAATGATGGAACCACTTTTTTTTTTTTTTTTTTTTTTTTAAATTAAAGGACTTGTCAAAAACTGTTGTTTTGCATTTTTTTTTTTTTTTATCAATTAAAGGAATTTTTCAAAAGACTGGTCTCTTTATTTTCCCCTAAATTTAACCCTTACTCATTCACAAGGGGGGGCAGCATCAGGGTGCCCCCTTTTATAAAGGGGTACCCTGATGCTAATGAGCCCCGTGCCTACAGACCCCCACAACCAATGGGCAGGGGTTGTGGGGAAGAGGCCCTTGTCCCCATCCCCACCAATGCAGAGGGCACATGGCCCGGTAAGGCGCAGGGAGGAAGGGGGGGGCACTCGATCACCCCCCTTTCCTGCCCTGCCAGACCTGTGCTTGGATCAAGGGTCTGGTAAGAATTTAGGGGGGACCCCACGCCTCCCCCCGATTTTTTTGGGGTGGGGTTCACCCTAAAAGTCCTACTAGGCATAAAGGGCCTGGTATGGCTTTTAGGGGGAATCCCGCACATTTTTTTTTTTTACTTTTACTGTGGGGTCCCTCCTATCCTTCCTACCAGACCTAAAGGGTCCAGTAAGGATTAGGGGGGGGGACCCCACTCTGTTTTTTTTTGTTATTTTTTTAAAAATGTCAGTCCTGCTGCAGAAGGTTCTATAAATTGTACAGATGTGCAACCTTGCAGGTAGTTGAAGAGGACCCCCCCAGGCATGATATTTAAAATAATTTTTCATTTTCTTTTTACGTTAAGCAATGAAAAATGACTGTCCATTAAAAACTGTATTTTTTTTACATTTTTTTTCACTGATTCATGTCCCTCAGGGCAGTGCCGAATCCCAATACCCCTTTTATGGCCAATAACTTCCATATAACCCTTCAAAATGGGCACTTTTGCATTTACAAGTCCCACAGACTTGCATTTAATTCGAAGCTCACAGTTGAACATTTATTAGGTTTGAATGTTGGGCCGTGAACCGAACACAGGGGTGTTCGGCCCATCACTACATGTGAGATACAAACGTTCTAGTGAGAGCAATAATTCTAGCACCGGACTTCCTCTGCACCTCTAAACTGGTAAACTGTAAAAGACTATATGTGCCACAGTTTGGCGCCATTCAGCGAAAATGCGCAATTTTGAAGCATGATATATCAGGTATCTATTTACTCGGCATAACATCTTTCATTTCTTACAAAAAATGGGTTATTTTGTTTTGTAGTTTTAAAAAATGTCTTAAAGTGTATTTTTTCTAAACAAATTGCGTTTGGAAAACTGCTGTGCAAATTCCATAAAACAAACGACTGCTACTTTATTCTCTAGGGCCTATGCTAAAATATTGACTGTCATATACCTTTAAATGTTTTCTGTGTTTTGTCTTTGCTCCTCCCTTTCATTTGGTTAATGTTGCATAGATATCCCTCCCCCTTTCCCAGGAATGCATTGCAGCTAGCCTCATGGCATGGAGCAAGACACAGTATGATCTTTTGACTTATGGAATTTCATTGTTGTAAGATTCAGTTTATATAGAATAAACTTCACAAGATCTACAAGATGTCATTCTCATTGAGTCACTGACTGTGGTATCCAACTGAGGTTGAAGTTATCGCTATCTCATCACAACTGTAAATTACAGAGATCACACTCTCAATGCTTAGATTGGAGACACAGAACATATATATAATGTTGGGGGTAATTTTGTAGCAAAAACTAGTGATTTTTACATGTAGGAGAGAAGTTTCAGACTAGGCCTGGTCCTTACTGTATTAATGAAGTGTGCCCAGTAACATCTGTAAATCCATAAACCATAGATGTCAGGTTCACATTACAGTTTCTCTCTTAAAACCCCATTTTATCTCAGCTGTCAGTTTGTAACAATTTGGTGAAACCAACGTACGTATAATGTGCAGTAGTGATGGTCATCTCCAGGGGTTTTTTTTTCTCAGAGAATAGTGCAGGTGCTTCATCTTCCATGTCAACTTTTGCCTCCGCCCCCAACCCACCTCCGAGCACCATCCCTTGGTTCCAGCTCCTGCCCACCTCCCAGTACGGCCCTTTTAGAGAATACAGAACCACGTATAATTTATACAGAACCAAGTAATTTATATGGAATTTGTTATTGATAAAAAAAGAAAACAATAAAATAGATCCCCTGCAGCAAGCAACAGTAGACCCCACAGTACCATTAAACACCCCCAGCAACAATAGACCCCCCACATCAAAATACCCCCCCTGCACGTAACAGTAGATCCCTAAGCAACAATATATCTCACAGCAGCCAGTAACAAAAGACCCCTTCCTCAACAGTAGAACCCCTCCCCCAGCAATAACTGACCCTCAGCAATAATAGATACCTCACAAGTAAAAGTAGACTCCACAGTTACAATAGATTTCCCAGCAGCCAGCAACAATAGACCCCTCCCTCAACAGTAGATCCCTCCTAGCAACAACAACCCCCCCCACCAAAAACAGATCCCTCACAAGAAACAATAGATGCCCCAGCTACAATAGCTCTCCCAGCACCCAGCAACAATAGACCCCTCCCTCCACAGTAGATCCCTCCCAGCAACAACTAACCCCCAGCAAAAACAGATCCCTCACAAGAAACAATAGACAACCCAACTACAATAGATCTCCTAGCAGCCAGCAACAGTAGACCACTCCCTCAACAGTAGATCCCTCCCAGCAACAACTACCCCCCCAGCAAAAACAGACCCCTCACAAGAAACAATAGACACCCCAACTACAATAAATATCCCAGCAGCCAGCAACAATAGACCACTCCCTCAACAGTAGATCCCTTCCAGCAAAAACTAACCCCCCAGCAAAAACAGATCCCTCACAAGACACAATAGACACCCCAACTACAATAGATCTCCCAGCAGCCAGCAACAATAGACCACTCCCTCAACACTAGATCCCTCCCAGCAATAACTAACGCCCCAGCAAAATTGGATCCCTCACAAGAAACAATAGATGCCCCGACTACAATAGATCCCCCAGCAGCCAGCAACAATAGACCCTCCAGCCCACCCCATCACTCCTCGCCATTACATACATCCAGTGCTGGAGGTGCCAGAACTGCGTTCCCGCTGAAGAAAAGCGCTGATCATTTCCATCTAGCAGCCGAGGTGCACACTTCTTACTTCAATGTTATCCCACGAAAAAACTCCAGAACCCTGCTGGGGGGCCCAAAATGTCTCCAGTACTAGGTATACTGTGGATCAGAGGCGGACTGACCATTTGGAAACTCGGGCACTGCCCGAGGGCCCCGGGTCAGTAGGGGGCCCCATGAGATGCCCCTGGTACCTTTTTCATAGGCTTTTTTGAGTTTGGTCAAGGACACAGGGACCCCATGATCCCCTATTGCCTGGGGGCCCCATGAGTTGTCAGTCCACCCCTGCTGTGGATCCAACTTTTTTATTAACTGATACATTTTGATTTTTAAAAGGAGAGGGGCACTTTGAGTGAATCGAAGGTATATATTTTTTATATACAATATATAGCCTGATAATGAACGGTCAGCGCTTGGAGCATTTTTTGCCTGTCAGTTGTTTGCTGTATGAAATGCTTTTTAGATCATTGAAGTGTGGGAACACACAATCCCCACGTTCACATGAAGTGTTAAGCCACTCTGAAAGCTCCTGTAAACTGCCAGTAGGGTGTGTCCTCTGGGCGGGGTGGGGGGGCTTATCTCGCGGCTGGCCAGGTGCCTGGGACACACCCACCCAGCAATGTCATAGAATTCTACCTGCATAGGGAAGTGTCAGTCCATGACCTTGGATGTGCGTTCTCTGCACAGCTTACATTGCACTGATTACAACCCACTCTGTGTGTTAGCGGCCTTTCTGTATAGTTTTCCTGCCGGAGCCCCCACCCAGAACACACATTATACATGTATATAATATACATACATATATATTATACATACACATACACACACACATATAATATACACATATATATATATATATATATATATATATATATATTACACACACACACACAGATATATATATCTCTCTATCTATCTATCTATCTATCTCTCTATCTATCTATATATATATACACACACACACACACACACACACAGATATATATATATACAGTGGGGATCGAAAGTTTGGGCACCCCAGTTAAAAATTTGTATTAATGAGCATAAAGAAGCTAAGGAAAGATGGAAAAATCTCCAAAAGGCATCAAATTACAGATTAGACATTCTTATAATATGTCAACAAAAGTTAGATTTTATTTCCATCATTTACACTTTCAAAAATAACAGAAAACAAAAAAATGGCGTCTGCAAACGTTTGGGCACCCTGCAGAGTTAGAATCTTGTACTGCCCCCTTTGGCAAGTATCACAGCTTGTAAACGCTTTTTGTAGCCAGCCAAGAGTCTTTCAATTCTTGTTTGAGGTATCTTTGCCCATTCTTCCTTACAAAAGTCTTCCAGTTCTTTGAGATTTCTGGGCTGTCTGTCACGCACTGCTCTTTTAAAGTCTATCCATAGATTTTCAATTATGTTGAGGCCAGGAGATTGTGAAGGCCATGGCAAAACCTTCAGTGTACGCCTCTTGATGTAATCCCCCCGTGGATTTCGAGGTGTGTGTTTAGGATCATTATCCATTTGTAGAAGCCATCCTCTCTTTAACTTCAGCTTTTTCACAGATGGCATCAAGTTACCATCCAAAATTTGCTGAAATTTTATTGAATCCATTTTTCCTTCTACTCGTGAGATGTTCCCTGTGCCACTGGCTGCAACACAACCCCAAAGCATGATTGATCCAACCCCATGCTTATCAGTTGGACAGAGGTTCTTTTCATTAAATTCTGTGTCCCTTCTTCTCCAAACGTACCTTTGTTCATTGCCAAAAAGTTCAATTTTAACCTCATCGGTCCACAGAACTTGTTTCCAAAATGCATCAGGCTTGTCTATATGTTCATTTGCAAAGTTCAAACGATGATTTTTGTAGTGAGGACATAGAAGAGGTTTTCTTCTGATGACTCTTCCATGAAGACCATATTTGTACAAGTATCTCTTTATAGTGGAATAGTGTACCACAACTCCAGTGTCTGCCAGATCTTTCTGGAGGGATCGTGCAGTCAAACGTGGGTTTTGAATTGTTTTTCTCACAATCCTGCGAGCTGTTCTGTCTGATATTTTTCTTGGTCTTCCAGATCTTGCTTTAACTTCCACTGTTCCTGATGACTGCCATTTCTTAACTTCTTGCCGACCGCGCATAGCCGAATGACGGCTTCACCGCGGCCGGCCAGTTCTGAGTGGACATCATATGACGTCCTCCCAGAACGCGCTCTCCTGCACGCCCCAGGGGGCGCGCACCCGGCGATCTCCGTGATCGCTGTGTCCTACGGACACAGCTGATCACGTGATGTGGTGAAAGGCCGATCCCACCGGCCTTTTACCACGTGATCAGCGGTGTCCAATGACACGCTGATCACAGGGAAATGCAAGTGCCGGTTCTCGGCTGCACTTTCCTCACGCTGTCAGATCGTGAGGAAAGTACTGCCGAGAACCGGCAGTTGTCAGAGCGGGGATCGGCACTGATGATCAGTGCCCTGATGATCGGTGCCCAGCAGTGACACCCGCAAGTTCCGCCCAGCAGTGCGCCCACTAGCCCCGCCCACCCGTTCCCAGCAGTGCCCCCACCTGTGCCCAGCAGTGCCCCCACCTGTGCCCAGCAGTGCCCCCACCTGTGCCACTCTGCAGTGCCACCTACATGTGCCCAGCAGTGCCACCCACCTGTGCCCACCCACCAGTGCCACCCACCTGTGCCCACCAGTGCCACCCACCTGTGCCCACCCACCTGTGCCCACCCACCAGTGCTGCCCACCAGTGCCACCCAGCAGTGCTGCCAGTCAGTGCCACCCAGCAGTGCCCAGGGGTTGTGCCAGTCAGTGCCGCCAGTCAGTGCCCAGAAGTGATGCCAGTCAGTGCCGTCTATCAGTACCCATCATCAGTGTCACCTATCAGTGCCGCCTATCAGTGCTGCATATCAGTGCCGCCTATCCGTGACCCCTAATTAGTGCTGTCTATCAGTGCCGCCTATCCGTGCCACCTCATTAGTACTGCCTATCAGTGCCCTTTAGTGCTGCCTTTCAGTGCCCATCAGTGCCGCCTATCAGTGCCGCCTCATCAACGCAAATCAGTGAAGGAGAAAAAATACCTGTTTGAAAAATTTTATAAAAGAAACAAATAAACTTTTTTTTTTTTTTTCAAATTTTTTGCACTTTTTTTAATTTATAGCGCAAAAAGTAAAGCGCCCAGTGGCGATTAAATACCACCAAAAGAAAGCTCTATTTGTGAGAAAAAAATGATCAAAATTTCATATGGGTACAATGTTGCATGACCGCGCAATTGTCAATCAAAGTGCGGCAGCGCTGAAAGCTGAAAATTGGCCTGGTAAGGAAGGGGGTATAAGTGCCCGGTAGGCAAGTGGTTAATTACATTCCGAACAGAGGATATTGACATCTGAAAACGCTTTGCTATCTTCTTATAGCCTTCTCCAGCTTTGTGAGCGTCAACTATTTTCAGTTTCAGTTTTCTAGACAACTACTTAGAAGAACCCATGGTGCTGATTGTTGGGGCAAGGTCAGATGAGTCTGGGTATTTAAAACCTTTGAGCTTGACATCACCTGGTCTTCCCAGACGATGATTGAGAACAATCCATGACACTGGCAGGTCTCAGCTTGGCAAAGGGGGCAGTGCATGCTATAAATTCTGCAGGGTGCCCAAACTTTTGCAGACGCCATTTTTTTTGTTTTCTGTTATTCTGAAAGTGTAAATGATGGAAATGAAATCTAACTTTTGCTGACATATTATAAGAATGTCTAATTTGTAATTTGATGCCTTTTGGAGATTTTTCCATCTTTCCTTGGCTTCTTTATGCTCATTAATACAAATTTTTAGCTGGGGTGCCCAAACTTTCGATCCCCACTGTGTATATATATATATATATAAAATATACATACACACACATATATATATTATACACATATATATATAATACACACACACATAAAAATATATCTGCTTATTTTCAAGATTTATTTCTTCTATTTGGTTATAAAAAGTTGAAGCGATTTGTTTTTTTTTTCCCCTGGGATCCAAAGTATTTTATTTTTGGTTATCACTTCCACCTGGCAGTACTCAGGTTGTTGGTTCGAATACCAACCACTGCATCACCTGCCTGGACTTTGCATGTTCTCCCTGTGCCTGCGTGGGTTTCCTTCATGACCAAGCCATTTTTGCTATTTGGCACTATGCTATTTTAACTGGATGGACTTTTGTCTTTTTTCAGCCAGACTAACTATGTAACATGGAACAAAATCAGATTACAAAAAATACGGCACTCATTCGTGGTGACTGTGTGAATTCTTAAGACATTCACACAGCAATTTTTTTCTTTTCATCCATAGACAACCCCCACCCCCCTTTTCTTCTTCATTTAATCACTTGACTTCTGAAAGGTTTTACCCCCTTCATGACCAAGCCATTTTTTGCTATTTGGCACTGTGCTATTTTAACTGGCAATTGCACGGTCATGCACACAAGCATCATGTATGAATGCCGTATTTTTTGTATTCTGATTTTGTTCCATGTTACATAGTTAGTCTGGCTGAAAAAAGACAAAAGTCCATCCAGTTCACCCATAAGCCCTCATGCACACTGGACGTTTTGATAACGCTGTTTTTTTTTTTATTGTTTAGTGGTGTTTTCCTGCGTTTTTTCGCTTTTAAGTTTTATGCATTTTTTTAACCAAAAAAGTGTATTTTTTTGGTAAAAAAAAAAAAACGTCCAAACACACAGGTTTATGGCGTTTTGCCGTGTTTTTCAGCCTTAAAGCATTTTTACAGCTAAAAAACTCCTGGGTTCTGGGTTTTTTTCCAGCCAAAAAAAACATTGATTCCAGTCTATGTGTGCATGGACACATAGGATAACATGCTGGGGAGTTTACTTGCTGTAGAAAGAAATGTCAAAAGCCAAAAACAGCCACTGTAAAAACGTCCCCTGTGCATGAGGACTAAAAAGAAAAAACAAAAATGTTCATCAGCTCCATCTAGTGGTCCAGATGCAGTACTTTTTATTGAGGGATTTCAGGAAAATACCACATTATGGCCACTAGGTGAAGACGACACTCATAGGAGATAATCAAATTATAACAAAATTGTCACTTCTTTGTGCTGGTTGGGAGAATACGTATGACATCTGCAAGATAATATTTTTCATACATAGACCCTATTAGGTGTTTGACAGTATTGGCACTGCCAGCTGCTACTCAGAGAGTATGCATTCAAATTTTCCTTTGGGTCCAATATTTTGTAATTATTTTTGACATTGTAATGTGTAATTTTGTAAATATTTTGTAATTGCGTTCGATTCCACGTAATGGTGTTAATGACCAGATAACCAGCGGCAGAGAACTGAGTCAGCCTGTTTCTGTTCTGTTTGCTCTGTGTGTTTGCTGTTCTCCAGGAATATCGCCGACCTCAGTGAGGCGGAGTACAATGTTTGCTTGGCAGTGGAGGGTGAAGTACATTAGACAGACTTGTCTCTGGTTATTGATTCATTTGAATGTATTTTCTGTATGATCTTCTCCAGCAGGGGCGGACTGACCATTTGGAAACTCGGGCACGAGGGGCTGGGGTCAGTAGGGGGCCCCATGAGATGCCCCTGGTACCTTTTTCATAGGCTTTTTTGTTTGGGCAAGGACACAGGGGCCCCATGATCCCCTATTGCCTGGGGGCCCCATGAGTTGTCAGTCCGCCCCTGTTCTCAAGATTTACCAAAGCTGAAATCTGGGAAAAAAACCTATACTGAGCCATTTCCAACATGCAAGTGTAAAAAAAAAAAAAAAAAAAAACCTCTTTTGGTGCCTGTCACGTTTGGCATCAACCTTTTGGTTGACTGCACAGTGGATAAAATGATTAGCACTTCCACCTGGCAGTACTAGGGTCATTGGTTCAAATCCCAGCCACGGCACCACCTGCCTGGAGTTTGCATGTTCTCCCTGTGCCTGCGTGGGTTTCCTCCGGGTACTCCGGTTTCCTCCCACACTCCAAAGACATGCTGGTAGGCTAATTGGATCCTCTCTAAATTGTCCCTAGTATGTGTATGTATGAATGTGAGTTAGGGACCTTAGACTGTACACCCCTTGAGGGTTAGGGACTGATGTGAATGTACAATATGTATGTAAAGTGCTGCAAAAATTGACAGCGCTATATAAAATAAATAAACCTTTTACTTTCATTCAGTCCCCCACAGTACTGTAAGCTCCAAATGTGATGCCCTGAGAATTCAAGGCTTTCTGTGATTGGAGGAGAGGAGGGTGAGTGTCATGATCTCCAGTCACAGAAAGCACTGCATTCAGGTGGCTCATGTTACAACTCCTGCAATTAGAAAAAGCCTTGTATTCTTTTTTGCTGAATGCAAGGTTTTCTGTGATTGGAGAAGGGGAAATCATGATGCTCATCCTCCCTTCTTCCAATCGCAGAAAGCCTTGCATTCATGTAGCTCATTTTACACCCCCTCCATTTAGAAAAAGCCTTGTAATTTTTTTTGTTGAATGCAAGACTTTCTGTGATTGGAGAAGGGGAAATCATGATGTTCATCCTCCCTTCTTCCAATCGCAGAAAGCCTTGCATTTATGTAGCTCATTTTATACCCCCCCCATTTAGAAAAAAGCCTTGCATTCTTTTTGCTGACTAAAAGGCTTTCTGTGATTGCAGGAGGAGAAATCATGACGCTCATCCTCCCTTCCAATCACAGAAAGCCTTGCATTCAGGTAGCTTATTTTACACCACCTCCATTTAGAAAAAGCCTTGCAATCTTTTTGCTGAATGCAAGACTTTCTGTGATTGGAGGAGGGGAAATCATGACGCTCATCCTCCCTTTTTCCAGTCGCAGAAATCCTTGCATTCATGTAGCTCATTTGCACCCCCTCCATTTAGAAAAAGCCTTGCATTCTTTTTGCTGAATTACAGGAGGGGAAATCATGATGCTCATCAATCGAAATGATGGATTCAGCTAAAAAATAGCCATAACTTTCCTTTAGGCTGGAATTAGATTGGATTTGATCAAACTAAGTCAGTTGCCAGGGAGGAAAATTGTTGATCGTTTTGCATCGATTGGCAGCACTGAGATGCTTCGGTCGGGAATCTGATTTCGATCGATCAGATTGTGAGATTGCACGGTGGAAACGGAGGAAATCAACAGATTACGTTTGTATCTTCCATCTATTGATCCAAAATCCACTTCTCTGCCTGTGGCATATTGATTGGGTTCTCAACTATAGATCGATTATTTCTATCCAGAGCGATTGATTGGAAAATAAATCGATTGATTATAACATGCATGGGCAGCTTTTATGACAAACATCCATAAAGTGTTACTAAAAACAGTAAAATCAGTCTGTGTATGCAGCAAAGCATGCTTGTTGTACTCACTATGGAACCCAAGGGGTTAATCTCCCCCCCCCCCCCCGCCCGCATTGTGGGAAAAGGCTGTTTGATCCTGTCTTCCAGTAACTACCAGCAGGTGGCCACTTTCCTGCTTCCCCAGCAACTGCCATTTCTGGGCTAAACTTTTATTTTATTGCTGCCTACGTCCCTACTTGGGAGATTTCTCTTACTTCCTGTACCTGAAATACAGAAGGAATTCAGCGGAAATCTCCCCAATATAAGGTGGAATTCTGACAAAGACTAATTCGTTGCCAGCGTATATTTTTTAAATGGTCTTGAACAAGTTAGTGTGTTAAAGTGTTACTGAACCCACAACAGTAAAATCAGTCTGTAGAGGCAGTAAAGCATGCTTGTTATACTCACTGTGGAACCTAAGGGGTTAATCCTCTGCATTGTGTAAAAAAAGCTGTTTGATCCTGTCTTCTCTGATCTTCCCCTTCTTCTACTGTCCCCCAATCCATCTGCTGATAGAACAGAGTCTTGAGGGCAAGCTGCACATGCTCAGTTTGGTGTGTATTGCTAGAGAGGTTTTTTTTTTTCTTGGGAGAGTGCATGTGATCAGCACAGGGCCAATCAGCACTGTGCAGTCAGAAGTTCTACATCCTCCTAGAGCAGAATGAAAACTCCTCCTACAAGTTTTAACCAGCGCTCTGCTGGGCACTGATAGAAGTCACAAGACTGCTCTAACTGCTGATGAGAAAAGGTATTTAGCAGTCTATATTTACTAAAATAATTGCATTTCCATGTTGGGTGTACTGTGATATAGTGAATGCAGGGTCCGGGGTGACCAGATACAGTGAATGCAGGGTCCGGGGAGACCAGATACAGTGAATGCAGGGTCCGGGGAGACCAGACATAGTGAATGCAGGGTCCGGGGAGACCAGATACAGTGAATGCAGGGTCGGGGAGACCAGATACAGTGAATGCAGGGTCCGGGGAGACCAGCCATAGTGAATGCAGGGTCCGGGGAGACCAGCTATAGTGAATGCAGGGTCCAGGGAGACCAGATACAGTGAATCCGGGGGGCGACTGGATATAGTGAGTCCGGGGAGAGCGGATATAGTGAGTCCGGGGAGAGCGGATATAGTGAGTCCAGGGAGACTGGATATAGTGAATGCAGGGTCCGGGGAGACCAGATATAGTGAATGCAGGGTCCGGGGAGACCAGATATAGTGAATGCAGGGTCCGGGGAGACCAGATATAGTGAATGCAGGGTCCGGGGAGACCGGATATAGTGAATGCAGGGTCCGGGGAGACCGGATATAGTGAATGCAGGGTCCGGGGAGACCGGATATAGTGAATGCAGGGTCCGGGGGAGAGCAGATATAGTGAATGCAGGGTCCAGGGTTTAGTAACACTTCAGATAGAAGAGAAGGTGATATGTTTGGAAAACCATTGTGCTGCTCTGCAAGTGCCATGCAGGTAGGGTTGCCACCTCATCCCTTTAAAACCGAACACATACAGTCGTGTTCAAAATAATAGCAGTGTGTTGAAAAAAGTGAATAAAGCTCAAAATCCTTCTAATAGCTTTTATTTCCATCCACACAAATGCATTGGGAACACTACACATTCTATTCCAAATCAAAACATGAAGAAAAATAGATCAAATTTGTGTCGTTCCTCTAAACAAAATTGAAGAAAAGTGAATATTAGTTCAAAAAAAAATCGCAGTGTTTGTATTCTTCTCTTTACAAACTCAAACATTCACTATATAAACTGAAAAATGTTTGAAGATTTTGCTTTCCTTTGAATCACTTAATGAATATTTGGTTGTAGTCGCTCTGTTTCTGAGAACTGCTGTACATCTGTGTTGCATGGAGTCACCCAACTTCTGGCCCCTGTGATCAGGTATTCCAGCCCAGGATGATTGGACGACATTCCACAGTTCTTCTCTATTTCTTGGTTTTGCCTCAGAAACTGCATTTTTGATGTCACCCCACAAGTTTTTCTATTGGATTAAGATCCGGGGATTGGGCTGGCCACTCCATAACGTCAATCTTGTTGGTCTGGAACCAAGATGTTGCACGTTTACTGGTGTGTTTGGGGTCGTTGTCTTGTTGGAACACCCATTTCAAGGGCATTTCCTCTTCAGCATAAGGCAGCATGACCTCTTCAAGTATTCTGATGTATTCAAACTGATCCACGATCCCTGGTATGCGATAAATAGGCCCAACACCGTAGTATGAGAAACATCCCCATATCATGATGCTTGCACCACCATGCTTCACTGTCTTCACAGTGTACTGTGGCTTGAATTCAGTGTTTGGGGGTCGTCTGACAAACTGTCTCCGGCCACTAGACCCAAAAAGAACAATCTTACTTTCATCAGTCCACAAAATGTTGCGCCATTTCTCTTTAGGCCGGTCAATGTGCTCTTTGGCAAATTGTAACCTCTTCAGCACATGTCTTTTTCCCAACAGTGGGACTTTGCGGGGACTTCTTGCAGATAGCTTGGCTTCACATAGGCGTCTTCTAATTGTAACAGTCCTCACAGGGAACTTTACACCTTCTTTCATCTTCCTGGAGCTGATTGTTGGCTGATTCCGCGCCATTTTGGCTATTCTTCTATCCATTTCAATGGTAGTTTTTCGCTTTCTTCCACGTCTTTCAGGTTTTGGTTGCCATTTTAAAGCATTTGCGATCATTTTAGCTGAGCAGCCGATCATTTTCTGCACTTATTTATATGTTTTCCCCTCTCCAATCAACTTTTTAATCAAGGTACGCTGTTCTTCTGAACAATGTCTGGAACGACCCATTTTCCTCAGAATTTCAGAGAGAAATGCACTGTAACCAGCATGTACAACATTTGCTGCCTTCCTTCCTTAAATAAGGGCAATAATTGCCACCTGTTTTTTCAAAGAATGAATGATCTCACTAATAGAACCCCACACTGCTATTATTTTGAACATGCCCCTTTCAATGAGTGATTCAATTACACAGAATCAGCAGCATGCATGTCATGACTGTTGGGTCTGTTGGATTTCTATTACTCTACTACACCTGCTAGGAAATTATTTGCCATGTAGAAATATCATTTCTACCAAAAACAGTGATTGATCCAGTTAGTGATGTCTGACTGCTATTATTTTGAACACAACTGTATATAAGCCTCATGCACACAGGACGTTAAAAAAAAACTCTCCTAGAAGCCGTCTTCCTGACAGCAGCATTCTTGCAGAAAAAACACATGCCGCTTGTAAAAGTATCTAGCGTTTTCACAAGCGTTTAGGTGCGTTTACAAGCTTGGATGTTAATTCATTTCGTTGGCCACAATGATAATTTATAATACCCACTGAAATAAATGAACACTCAAGCGCTAAACGCAAGGCACATTAAGCGGTTTTTTTTGTGCCAAAACACTGCTACTCCTGGACGCACTGGCCCTGGGGGTTTTTTTTCTCCTGTTGGTAAATGCTAGTGCTACTAAAAGTCTATGTGTGCATGGAGACATAGGATAACATGGAGGGCCGTTTAGAAGCAGTAAAAAAAAAAAAAAAAAAATGACTGAAGCCCCTCTCCTTGGTTCACATATATGCGGTGTGGTAAATCATATGTGATTCGCATAGGAACCGCACCGCATTCCTGTACCAATCACATGTGTTTTTGTATGGCTCAAGTCGCACCGCACCAAAAACGCTCAGGACCCTTTTCTTGGTCCGCACTAGAATCGGATCGCATGAGTATTCACACCTATTCGATCCAATTCTGCACATTGCACTGCGTTTTGCGGACCGCTTTCGGGGTGTTGTTAACATACACACCCGTAGCGGTTCACATGAACGGGGCGCGATTCTGATGCGGTGGGGAATTCGCACTGAAAACTCTGTGAATTCCGCACCGCATCAGTGTGAACCCGGGCTGAAAGTGACTGCAAGAAACGCCCTGTGTGCATGAGGCCTAATTACACAGATTCTGTGGCTTATTAAGGTGGTAATTAAATTCAATTGGTGCTTTATCTGCAAAAAATTCATGGAAATGTTATCCCTAATTGGGTGACATCACTTTGTCTAAAACACATTTTTTTGTCAAAAATGCCTAAAAAAACGCATAGACGTTTTTACCGCGGTTTTTAAAGGACACACGTGACTTAACCGCATGCCGCCCAGCCACTGTACATATACGGTGGCAGGGCGACACTCACAGGCAAAACCACATTTTAAAACGTGTGTTTTGTAAACAAATAGGGGGCGCGCGTGAGGCGCGCTGCCGCCCTATTTGTCCGGTGGATCACCGCCGCAGATGTCAGTTTCACTGCCGCTCCTTAGCGGCTATGTCCCGGCGATCGGCGGTAAACGGTGACAGAGAGCACAGCTGCAGTAGCTGTGCTGTCTGTCACCTCTCTGTCAGCTCGAGGATGAGCTGATCGAGAAAGAATAGTTTCACTTTCTCGATCAGCCTTTTCCCGCCCAGTACACACCCCCGCCCCCTAGTAAAACACTCCCCTCACTCCTATAACCCTTCCCTGCTAAATAAAGTTAACCCCTTCCTCCCCATTGCCATTAGTACAGTGTCAGTTTTTTTTTTTTTTGCACTGATCACTGTATTAGTGTTTTTGGGGATGTCAGTGACCCCAAGTCAGTACCCCCCAATGTCAGAATGTCCGCCGCAGTCCCACCTATAAGTTGCTGGTCGCCGCCATAATTCGCTGATCGCCGCCATTATTAGTATAAAAAAAAAACTAAAAATCCCAGTATCTTTCCCGCCATTTGTAAACGCTATAACTGTCACGTAAAGCAATTAATTTACACGTATTGGGTTTTTTTTTTAGCAAAGACATGTCGCAGAATGCATTTTGGCAGAAATTTATGACTAAATTTGATTTTTGCATTTTTTTTTTACTGGACATGTTTTATAGCAAAAAGTCAAAAATATTGTTTTTTTTTCCTCAAAATTGTCAGCCCTTTTTTTTTATAGCGCAAAAAATAAAAACCACACAGGCGATCAAATACCACCGAAAGAAACCTCAATTTGTGGGGAAAAAAAGGATGTAAATTTCATTTATGTACCGTATTGCATGACCGCGCAATTGTCCATTAAACTAGCGCAGCGCTGTATAGCAGAAAAATGGCGTAAATTGCAGTATCTATACCATAGTTTGTAGACGCTATAACTTCACACAAAGCAATCAATATACACTTATTGGGTTTTTTTTTACCAAAAACATGGAGCAGAATACATTTTGGCCTAAATTTATAACCAACTTTGAGTTTACTATATATTTTTTATAGCTGAAAATAAAAAATATTGTTTTTCTTCAAAATTTTTGGCGTTTTTTTTGTTTATAGCGTGAAAAATAAAAAAGCGCACAGGTGATCAAATTACACCGAAAGAAAGCTCTATTTGTGTGGAAAAAAGGACGTAAATTTCGTTTGGGTGCAGCATTGCATGACCGCGCCATTATCAGTTGAATTAGTGCAGCGCCAAGTAGCAAAAAGAGGCCTGGTCATTAAGGGGGGTAAATCCTCAGGAGGGCAAGTGGTTAAAATTGCACCAAAAACACTTCTCAGAGGAGTTTTTTTAAACTCCCCAAACATGCCCCAAAGGTGCTGCAAACAAGAGTTTTTACACAGCAGGGCAAGCTAACGCCTCAGTGTGAAAACAGACATAGATATACATTCACATACATAGGGAAGCATTTTTCTTGAGCTTTTCAGGTGCTTTTTTTAATGGAAAAACGCTTCAAAAACTCCTCAGTGTGAAAGTAGCCTAAGTCTGCTTTCACACTGAGCAGCTTTTGAAGTGCTTTTGTGTAAAAAGAAAAAAAGCTGAAGAAAAATGCTCCCCCCTTCAATTCTATGTATGTCTTCTCACTGGTCCATTGCACTACCATTGCGGTGTAACAAATCCCCCTTGCCACCTTTTTGGGGCATATTTGGTCACTTAAAAAAAACAAAAATGCACCTCCCCATTGAAATGCATAGGATTCGTATCAAAAACACAACACACCTGTGGGAAGTACAATGCAGCAAAACACAAAATGACATTTCTGTTGCAGGGAATGTCCAAAATCTGACTGACGTACCTTGGCGCAGATTCTGGGGAAATTGTTGAGCCAATCACACAAGCAGGAAATGACATTTCTGGGGAAGTTCTGCCCACCATCTGTGTATAGAAGGCTTTCAGGTTCCATCCAATCCCGAAAGGTCTGGTATGGATTTTAACCCCTCGCCTACCGGGCACTTTTACCCCCTTCCTGCCCAGGCCAATTTTCAGCTTTCAGCACTGTTGCACTTTAAATGACAATTACGCGGTCATGCAACACTGTACCCATATGACATTTTTATAATTTTTTTCACACAAATAGAGCTTTCTTTTGGTGGTATTTACTCACCGCTGGGTGGTTTATTTTTTGCGCTATAAACAAAGAAAGAACAAAAATTAGAAAAAAA